CGGGCCGCATGCGGCCCCCGGGCCTTAGGTTGCCTACCCCTGGTTTACATTATCACATATCCTCCCACCTGAAGACCTTGGAATTTTTTTTTGATTACAACTCCCAGAATCCTTCAATCATAAAAAATAACTTTTCCATGCTATGTGTTCTCTGCTCCAAAGCCTTCCCATTGTGTTCTCCATAATAATGGCACAGAAGGTGACTCTCTTTTAAGACTCAATTACTGTACTTTGATTCTGCTTTAATTGCTGTCATTCCGTCCTGTAGAATCATGGCATTTGTGGTTTGGTGAGGCACTAGAGCTCTCTGTCAGAGAATTCAAAGTACCCCTCCCAAACTACAAATCCCAGGATTCCATGAGATGGAGTCATAGTAGTTACAATGGTATCAAAGCAATACAGTGGCCCTTGGTATCTGCTGTGGTTTGGCTCCAGGATCCCCCATGGACATCAAAATCCGTGGATGTTCATGTCCCATTAAATACAATCATGTATTTAACAGTGTCCCTTATATAAAATGGCAAAATCAAGGTTTACTTTTTGGAATATATATATATATATATATATATATATATATATATATAATATTTTCAATCCATGAATGGTTGAATCTATGGATATGGACATTTGATCTATATATAACCATGCAGTGTAAAGGGGCCCATCATTATGTTTATGTGTGAACATAACACAAAGGAAAAACAATTCCTTACCAGGATTCCTGCAGGCTTGGACATTCCATAAAGGCTGCCTGGAAAGTTTTGATTTCCTGCCCATTTTTTAAAAAGCAAGATTCTTTCAATTCCCCAAATGCCATTTTGGAATTCAACGTGTTTGGTTTTTGTCTGCTTGACACTGAATTGGCATCAGGCTTCAGGACACTCCAGGAACCAGAGCCAGGAGTGGCGTCGGTCCCCCTTGTTTGGTTCATTGTTTCCAGTTCATGTTCCTGGCTCCTTCACAGTCTGACTCACTGTATGGAGTTTCCAAATGAATATGGAAAAGACAGGGAAACAAAAGCAGAGCTCATTGTTAGTGACAGTTATTTGGGCACGCTGAAATGCAAAATGATGGTTAACACTAACCAGGCTTTGTCAACAGGGCCAACCTAAAGTAAAGCAGCCTGAAGTAAACCAATAGTTGGTGCCCTCCACACACCACCTAAAAAGGTGTGTAGCACCTGAGACTAGCCTGCTAATTTGGGCACCCACATCTCTCTCGGGCAGTTTAAAAGAGAATCACAGGCCAGCATCCTGTTAGTGGCATACACATGCATAAGTCCACCTTGCATGTGCATGTCTTTTTTAGTAATTGTGGAGGTTGGGATTCTCATCCAGCCTACACAGTGCCCAAAGCCCCCCACAGGACTCATGGGGTTGCCAATGATGGCCGTTTTGAACTAGTGGAGAGCATGAGAGATCAGAGATGTATCTGGCTATGCCATGTAGCCAGAAGGAGAGCAATGACATCATCCACTGATCCCTTGGTGGATGTTATCTGTCTGTGTCTTGATATGTCCCATAGCCAGACACTTCTCTGATCCCCTGAACTCTCCACCAGTTGTTGTACAGCTGTTCAGGAGGGCTACTGCAGCAAAACTGTGGGTCCTGTGGATTTGTGTGAGTAGGGGGCAGTAGTGGAGCCCTGTCGTGCAACTCTCATGCTAGACTTGGCAATATAAAATCCTGGTCACAATAAATGAACTTCATGCACTAGAAACTCCTAAGCTCACATTTCATTGCAAAAACTACAACACAATTGGACCATTCAGGAGGACATTCTGTGGCATTGTCACTTCGACAATGGTTGA